AAACTAGAGACTACTTAAGGTGATTAATAACATTTCACCAGCAACAAAAATAAGTGGTCGAAGAAAATTTTTTGAACTCAACCTATGGTAAATGAAGTATAAACTGGTGTACAAAGAGAATTAATTTTCAATTTATCTGAATCCCAACCAGGGTCTTTATATAAGCTTGATATACACTAAGTTTGATTACAATACAATGTACCTCATTCCTACCTCGTTATTATCCGGAAACAATTTTTCTATTATTAGTAATGGTGACCTTGACCCAACCTTCCCAAGGGGTCAAAATGCAATACCAACCGGGGTCTTCATTTAAGCTTGCTATAAACCAAGTTTGATTACAATATCTCATTCCAGCAATAGTTACTTTCAACAAACCATTTTTCCCGAGTACGTTTTAGTGCCGAGCTAACCCATATTCATAAATGGCTGCATTATATGAAAATCATAGGCACTCGGTTCCACAACTTTCTATGATTTTTAATTTTTTTAATTAAAAGATTTTTTTTGATTTGTATTTAAAATACTACAAGGTTTCTCAGCCACCATGTTTTAAAGCAACGGAAGTGCGTTGTCTGCTTTACAATTTTTATAAATATTACTGGCTCCCCGTCACATTTAAAAGAATATTGTCGATGGCATCATGCGGGTACCACGGCCAATTTGTCAATAATTGTTGTACCCGTTTTAGCCTACAGTCTCTATTCATCGAATGGGGAACTAGTGCTTAATTGGAAATTGTACACCAGTCAATGCACTTCCGTTGCTTTAAAACATGGCGGCTGCGAAACCTTGTAGTATTTTATATACAATTTAAAATTTTTTTTTTAAAGAAATTAAAAATCATAGAAAGTTGTGGAACCGAGTGCTATGATGAAAATCATTACATTTATCTTGAATATTTTTACTTTTCTTACTATCTCAGTAATTTTTGTCACGTATGATTTTCTTTGAATATTTTGGCTAATCTGGAGGCATGCAACTTAAGCCAGTTTCAAATTAATTTGTACGAATAGTTTTGTGGGCGAACAAATTATAATTTAACAATGGCTTCACCGATTAAACATTAAATTTGAAATGCCTGTATGATATTTGGAAACTTACAAATAGGAAAAGAAACAAACAAAACTGTTCAAAATAAGGAAACTTACGATCTTGGCTGGAAATCTGTAAAATTATCAAAAGTAACTTTGCAAAGATTTTTAAAACGCACGAGTTTTCGCTTTTATTCTGTCTTTGTACCGTACCGCGTCGTTATTTGGACGAATAAATGCCGTGCTTTCCGAAGATCATACGCCACTATACAATTTCCTAATACAATGTTTTCTGCACACCGCCTATTTCAACAGCAAAAGACCCCCAACAACAACTTAAAAACATTTTAGAATGTGCATGTCTTTAGGTAACCGTTGTATAAATTAAACTTGATCTTAATTATTTATTTAGGCACTATTTCTATTTAACATATATCCAGTTTCAAGCTCTTAATTTATCTTAGAGATGTCTTTCTTTGAAATGGAAGCTTAGAATTGAAAATTAGAATTGAATTGAAACTATTTATGACAAGTTTTATTGATTTTAGTTGCTGAAATTAAGTTTCGATCTTAGAACCACTTACAAACTACAATGTCATCAGTGGACTCCAAAATCTCAAATGCTACCCTACTAGGGTCCATGAACCATGATAGGGTGATGATCTTTGACAGATTTGTTTAAAAGGAGATTACAAAAAACGTGAGTAATTATTTTAGAAAAATTTACTTCAGAAAATTTAATGTACTTATATATTATACATGAATGAATTTGAACTGACCCTTGGTCTTTAATGCTTTCCAACATGCGGATGCTCGAAATTTCTAGTAAATATGTAACATACCATGTTATGGCCTGATTCACTGAAATAAAATGGGTGAAAAGCATGCGACTATGAATAATACATATGGAATATTATGTTGCATTAGCTTTCCTGAGGCTAATTATATACCTATAAAAACTTATAAAGTTTCTCTCTAAAATACACGCAAATTAAATCTGTAAAAACATGACATGTATTTAAATTGTTATATCAAAAATCATTTTTACGCAGGTTGCTTCCAATTTCAGGGAATTTTATATTATGCTAGGCCACCATGAAAAGTGTCCCATCTTTTGTAAAAAACTGTATTTGTTTTCACCTAAATTGGCACATTTTACATCTTAAAACCAATTTAATACATGTAGTTTGCCTGTAAAATATGGTTTTGTACTGTACATACCTATTGTGCCTGTGGAACATAAGATGGTCACACTCAGGTTTTATTTTCTTCCACAACTTTAATATTTTATTATTGATATTTCAATGGGATAAAAAGTAGAGCCCGCCCATTTTTTGAGGAACCATAATATGTTTCCACGTTAAATGATTTTTATGTCTAATTGTTTCAATTTTCTTCCATCTCTTCAAAAAACAAAGAGTGGCCACGAATTTTTTTTTTACTTGATCTGAGAGAGCTGGAACCCGCGCTCTGCACATGGCCTCATAAGTTAACATTTCTTCAATATCGCTTCATTTTACGCCATCAGTATAAAAGGTTCAGAGCGGACATAGACGGACTGGTCTGTCTGTAGTTTTTGTTTAAAGAGTGTCCATCCGCCCATTAAGTCACCAAATGCCACCAGTCATGCCCTTATATAGTGGTAAATTTGAAGCACAAAGTATTGATAATTTACCTCTATGCAATTTCCACGAAGTGTTAGCTAAAGATATGAATTTTGAGCCATAAGAAGGCGATCAAAGAGAACCTAAATTTACAATAACCTAGGGAAACATGAAAAGAAGGTAGCTGTTGGTGCCAAGCAAAGGCGCTGCCTTTAAAGTACATGTAGTCACATCTTGACGGGTGACTATTTGCAGAAATTCTTTCAATGGATCGCATGATAACGTGTTCATGTATAATTCATTACCTGCTTTAACCATTTATTTTCAATACATTATGACGATATTGTAACGCTTAATAAGAAGTTTTAAAAGCGTGATTAAGAGATATAAAATTATTTTTAGGACTCTGTATGTCCTAATTAGGAGTTAGAAATTGAATCGTTATTAATTAGATGAAATAAAATCCAAATTTTAACTTTGTAACTCTTAATTAGATTTTTATGCAAAGTTCTAATTAGGATTTCGTTTTTCTTTATAACTTTTTTATTAGGTCAAAATCCTAATTAGCTTTTTCACCCAAATAAAAACGTTTTTTCCTCTAATTACGAATACAAATTTCAAATAAGTCTATAAATTCTCCCAATATGGCTTTATAAACTCCTTATTGGAAATAATAAAGTTCTCTTTAGGTTTTCTATTCCTATTAGTTACAACGCCCTAATTGGTCTATTATTACTAACCCTGCTTTAACCATTCATTTTCAATCAATTTTATAATGTTATATTTCACATTTGATTTTGTTATCGATATAAGTAATACAATTGAAGCCACTAAAATGAATCGAAATTAACACGTACCATATATATAAATTTACCCTTTATATCAACAGCAAATATCGCCATGGTGATATATGATAAGAAAAGGACATGAGCAGGTGTTTTCCCAAAAATATATCTTATCAAATGGGATTTTCAACTGAACTGATCTGCAAATAGCAAGAGCTGTCCGAGGAGCAGCACGACCTAATTTGTGCTGTTAACATTAAGGCATTTAATTCTCCCGTTTAAAACTTTGATTAGAAAGAGTAAGTTAGGAGGACAAATTCATAATTAGGAATTTGTACAGTCAAGTAAGGACTAACGTACTCACAAATAAAAGTTGTTAAATCTTTATTAATACTTGTTATCATTTTATTATTATTTAATTCGATCAGTGTCTATCCAAATAGAATTAATGATTAAATAAACGCTATTGACGGCGTTTATGAGAAGCAGACTGTCAGAAATTTCCAAATTAACGTTTTATTGTAAAACTTTTTGTCAGACACTGATATACGAGGATTGATTACAATCCGGAATTTGTTTTTTTTATGTTTCTGATAATTGTTATATCTGGTTATGTTGTTTTCTTTATTTTATACCATTGTTAAATTTATTGTAAATTTATTGTTTCATAATTTAATCTTATGAAGTAACGTTTAATTATTTTTATCGTCATGATGACATCGTAAGATGAAACACATATCTTTTTTCGTGTATCAATCGCGTAACATGCTCATCACAATGATAAATTCAAAGCACTGATGAATGAAAATATTTGAATTTTGATGTTTGATTTTTATTAATACTTGCTTCTCACCCGATGAACCATATCCTCATAGCGAAGTCCGGGAGATGCTATGCAAGTATAAATAACTATATGAGCCGCGTCACGACAAAACCAATGTAATGCGTTTGCGATCAGCATGGATCCAGACCAGCCTGCGCATCCGTGCAGTCTGATCAGGATCTATGCTGTTCGCTTACAAACCCTATAACAAGTAGAGAAAGTGATAGCGAATAGCATGGACCCTGATCTGACTGCGCGAATGCGCAGGCTGGTCTGGATGCAAACGCACTATGTTAGTTTTGTCGTGTCGCGGCTCAAATAACTATATATTCTGGTCATCATTCTGACCAATACACAATCGCGTCTATTTATCAGTGGAATACAATGCCCCAAGATGTTGTCGCCTTGTCTGGGCCCATTCTTAGTAAGTATACCACACAGAATATGTCTCGCCCTAAACTCACCTGCTTCGTTTTTACCTACCGGCATTTTAAAATTTTATCTTTAATTGAACATGTTTTTTATCCTTCATATTTGTGGGTCACCAGCAGAGGTTTGAATAAATGGAAGATAGTCAAGAAAGGAATAAAATAAAATAAGTGCTTTGTAAATATTTAGTAAGTTTTTATTCTGATTTACTAAAATGGCACCAAACTAAATTGTTGCGTGTATGAATTTTGAATGTTGTCCTTTGTCCTTTGCCAGCAGAAACGAAGACTTATCGCTTTGAAAAAAACAAAACAAAAAAAAAAAAACAAAAAACAAAACACACACATACAAAAACCACACACTTCACAGAGTTTGCCTTTTTACATATCATCTAAATTTCATACCTTGTATAACAAAAGTGATATTTTATGATTTTTAAAAATAAAACACGCAGTGCAAAAATTGCAGTACTGTTCCACCTCAACAAAATTATTGCTAGCCTCTCGTATTTAATATTTGGCTCATATTACAGCACTTTACACCACGTATTTTCGCTATGTTCGTATCGTTATTTCTGATGACGTCATATGAGCATGCAACATCGAGATACTCGTATCTATGGTATCTGATAAAAATTCAACGGTATGCAGAAAGCTGTCATCGAGAACTTGATAAAATTGAAAATTGCAGGACAAAGTATGGTAAAACAAGTAAAAGAAAACAAGAAAAAAGCGTTTATTTTACAAAATTACATTATTTAACGTTGTTTCATATATTTTTAGAAAAGGATATGTACGTAAATGAATAAAGACAGTTGACAATTTATCTTTTTTTTTTTCTTGATAAACTATCATTCGGCTGATAAACTTTTAAAAGTTTCATGGCTGAACATATTTGACAACATTATCTGTATTCTTGTAGTCGTTTCCCTATCTATCCTTTCTTTAGTTAATGACAATATTTAGGGGATGTAAAATTGACATGTTGATATTCGATTAAAAATAATAAATATAGCAAACTTTATTTTTCCTTTGGAATACTTTCAACATTTTAATAATGGAGGCGCTCTGGTGTTTGTTGATTTTTCTTCATGCGTCAGGTAGGGAATTATCTTCATAATTTACTGTATATTAAAAAATCAAAATAGAATAATTATACTACAGTTTTAATAATCTAATAATTAGTTTTCCTTTTAAGCCAATGAAAGTTATTTGCAATTACAAAATGAAATATTTACCTTATACAACCATCAATTTTAATTAAGGTCCTTAAATTTTCTCATGTGGCCTGCGGTTACTTTCGATTAATGAAATAAAATAGCTAATGATACCTAATATACAAAAGAGAATGGACATTTTAATTTAGCAATTAACGGGCAGAGTTCATGGAACCCTTCGTCAATGTTGTCACGTGTCCCTGGTCTCCATCCTGTTGGCGGAAGTATGAATTTGCCACAATTCCTAGCAGTGCACAGAAGTTACTCCTCCGACTCAACACAACGGTCTGCTTGTCCCCAAGTTAACAAAGACTGTCCAAAACAATGTCGAAAGGCGGATAGTAAAAGGTGTCGTATTTGTGACTGCAGTGAGCTTAAAGGTGAATTCGATTCTTGCCTAAAGCCCCCAACTTCATGTCCGAAGTCATGTAGAAAACTGGACGACAAAGGATGCAAAATTTGTTCATGCAAGAATGAACAATCAGGTATTTAGGGAATGTCTTTCATTGAAACTTAGAAGATGATTAATTCAAGCGTAAAATATAACTTCCAATTAAGCACAAACTCAATGAATGTAAAACGCCTGTTCTTATTCATTATGTTAAATACTGGCAGTTATGGATGAAAACTAGTCCAAAAATGTACCAAGGAACGGTACGAATTACATTCTACAACTAACACTAATATTTCACGGGATACATGCACTTCCATTGTAGCTGCACACGAATTTAAACATGTTAATTACAAGAAAAAAACTATACATATAAACGGCAGCAAATTCAAAAGACATATGGCACTGACACAGCTTTGTCTTATACATGTATTAATCGTCTTTGATATTCAAGAAAAGGAACAACATACATTCGTGTTTAATGCTGCATGCCTCCAAAAGATGCAAAATATTTCAAGGAAATCAACTTGAGAAAAAAGTACAATTATTTAAAAAAAAGTAATAAAGATTCAAGATAATACTTTCCATGTTATGTGCGATTTTGTAGAATTAATTATTTTCTACTACAGTAAGGGATTTTTTTTGCATACTTTGACCTCTTTTTGGTAATTAACATGTGTTGTAAGTGCTTGTTGAAATGCATTTTCATTTTCAAAATTTTCATGAACATTAGCTTGAATCTGAAGGCGTGCTGCTTTATGAAAACTCATGAGCCGACTTGACTTTTACTAAGCAATTAATACCTATTTCAGCTTCTATGTCTCTTTCATCACTCTCTGGGTCATCGTTTAAGAAATGTTCTGCTATGCTCATGTGTATGTTATCATGTAAGCAAGGCTATACTCTCGGATCCGTTACCAACGAACACGGTTGTCAAACCTGCACATGTACGGATAATCGAGGAAATCATGGTAAGATTACAATAGCTTTGCATGACCTCTTCTTTTGTGTTATCATTAACAGCAAAACGAATCATAATACATACGCTGATACTTTTATACCTTAATCTAAAAGAAGGCTGATGATTTTAAAACGTGTATTTGAAAACTAAAACCATCAATCAGAATTCAATCAGGGATAAGGAAACCCTACCAAAAAGAAAGATGCTATAACGTAGAGCACAAACATACACTTATGACGTAATACCTGGTCAATATGGTGTTGAGCTTTGGAGACACGGCATTTATGATATTGAAACTTATCTTGGTGGTAATGAATAACAGTTAATCATAAGAAAAGCATATGATTTAAATGAAAAATAATTTATCTTGATCAAAGATAATTTATATTGCAGACAGTCAGGGTAATAATGGAAATGGCTTCAATACAGCAGGTAATAGTAATACAAATTCTGAACAATCATGGACTTTTGACAGCATATCTGGCAATACAGAAAATGGCAACTCTTGGAAAAAAGAAACCGAAAACACGTGGTCACATAGTGTTTCTGATGGAAATGCTAACAAAGGCACATGGGAAAGTGGGTCGAAAGAAAACAATAGTGATGACAAAAAAGATGTATGGAGTGCAAAGGATGGTGTTGGGGAATCTTCTTCAAGTTGTTCTGGACCACTTTGTCCAGGAAATTCAGGTGAGCGTTTACATATATTTGACATAGATCTACGGGCACGAATGTTGCTGGTATATTTTATTCAGTCGACACATAACTTCTTTTAAACGTTTTGAATATGATTTGTTATACATGTATCTCAATTTTGAAGGCTAGGTTTAATTGAGCCCATTCGTTGACGGTAATCATAAATTTATTTAGACATATAAGCTTACTCACTTTCAGGTGGTATGAACCCAATGTTTCCAGGGGCCATCTCAGGTGGTGGGAGTAGTTCTATGAACAGCGGTGGATGTCAAGGTCCGTTTTGTGCTGGCCAAGGAGGAATGGGTCTTATGGGAGCAGGAATGGGTGGAGCAGGAGGGAGTGGCTCGAGTGGATGTTCAGGCCCCTTCTGTACAATGAGTAGCTCTGCTAGTGGTATGGGCGGTGCATCTGGAGGAGGAATGGGAGGTATTGCCGGTGGTATGGGTGGGGCATCTGGAGGGGGCATGGGAGGACCCGGTGGTGTTGGAGGTATGTACAGCAATGTTTAGCGAACACATGTGCGTTGGCTATTTTGATAAACAATTCATATATGATCAGCTGCATGTCATAGGGTGAGGGTGAGAAAAATGAGTAGCTTGACCAAGACACAAATAACGTATTCTTGCAATACCATTTCGCTGCTACCGACTGAACTATCCAGTCGCTTACACATTTACCTCAATAAGTGTACAGTTCTGAGCCGAGACTTGTTAAAAGAGGGAGAAATTTACCAAAAAAAAAATGCATTATTAAAACTGACAATCGTGTTTTATTTGTTTTCGAGAAGATCACAGGCACATATATTTACAAGCAAGCGATATACTGTCACACATAAAAACTTGCACAATGAACGTTTACACTGGATGACAAACAGGATCATACCGATGCATACAATATACAAAGTAAATATTTTAAAACATAAACAAATACAGCTTGTATTTGTAAATTCATTTTTATACATGTATATAATGCTTCAGCAGTGCAACACATAGTAGAACTTTGACAGTTAGTTTTATATCTGAAAATATCTTTTATTTAAATCAGTTTAATATATTTTGATTTTATTTGAAAGCGTTCAGTCCATTTGGTTTAGCAGCTGGCAGTAAGACTGGGGCTAGAGGTGAAAGTTCAGGATGTAGCGGTCCGTTTTGTACCATGTCGACCGGAAATAGCGTAGGTGGTGCATCTGCGGTGGCAGATATGACGTCATCGGCGGCTGACGAAAGTTTTAATGATGGTATGACACTTTGTGTTGAAAGCACTAAAAAAATTACATGTCTGCAAAAATATCATTAAAAAAAATAGAACTCAGCAAGTCACATGGCTTTTGAAGTAGTTATGATGTGCTTTGTTAGTTTAAGATTAATCATTTAGACGGCAATGATATGAAAGTGTACTTGCCAGACATATATTTTAGTTTTTGATATACATGCAATCTTTATATACTGCATTTTCAGGTCAATATTCTATTTGTACTGGGCCGTCATGCACTGCTAAAAACGGAGACGCCTTCTGATTTACATGGACAGTAATTGCCAGTTTTCTTAATCAATTTAATATTTGATATTGATGCTTAAGAGATTATAAAGTGTTTAATATGGTAATGAATTCAATGACTTTTATAACTCTATGTATTGACATTCTTATCACATATTGCTGCTAGACTTTTATTGTAAATCAACAATAATAAACAGTAAAATTTATTTTAGTTTAAGTTTAAATCTTAGTTTTTTTATTCGATGCAATTCTGTTTTGTGTCTTGCGAAAAATGTGATGTCCAATCAAAACCTTAACCGGAAACACACGAACTGCCGTTCCGCAGCTCTATCGACGAGTTACGCGGGCTTGCTCTCAACGGCTCTGTGTCGTAACATTTTGATTCTTTTATGTCAGGAAGATATTCAGCTAGCTTACGGAAGGAAGATGATTCTACTCAGTCACCCTGCAAATAAAGCACGAACAGGCACTTGAGGCCTTCCTCCGACAGTAAAGCTAGAAAGTTGTGACATGACTTGGACAATAAAGTGCGACTTAAAATCCAACAAAACAGAGCTTCTTAGATTATTTAAACTTTATTTTCATTTAAAATCAACTGCAAATAAGACTTATTAAGATGAAATAAAAGAGATAAAATAATTAAAAGAAGACAAACAGATACCAGAGATATACATGTGTATCCATGGCAACACTGAGATTTGTCTCAGATAACATATCAGACTGGTCTTTGAAACATATAAGGAATTAAGTAAATGCAATATGTGTTTGACAAGGTTAAAATCCGTCATCAAAGAAAGTTTAAAGAATGGTGGATGAAATCGCAGCTTATAATCTCAATTCTCAGTGGTATCGCCACTATTTCTTACCGTTGCCATAACAACCAGGGCTGGTTATCGTTATCCCTCAGTTTGTAAACAAAAGCCGTTATCTCGGTAGTCATCCTCGGTAACCAAAGCTATTTACCGTATACATTAAACGTAGTATATACGGGATGTGTACCGTGGGTTCCGACGATGCTCGGTAGTCTAAAGTTATTATTTCCGAATGATCCTTTATTGAACTTTGACTTATGTTGGGATTTTCTTTTTCGTATTGTGCAACAATATTGACCTGGCACTTCATTAAATTACGTAAAGGTCATTGGATTAACACTGGTATCTAACTGTAATAGAATGACTTTTTATTAACTTACTTTTCTACAAATCACTTTATATTGCGTTCTCCTATTTCCTTCATGGAGGCATCCATTTTGAATCTCTTACCAAGCGTTAAATAAAAGAAGTGATTTGATTGGTCAATATTAATAGTAATTAACAAATCGGTTTCTTTATTTTATTACTTATCGTTATCCAATCAATTGCAATTCTATTGTTTGCTGAATGAATAAATAGCCGAGCTTTACTATTGACAAGCAGACTTCTCCAAATCCCTCCAGAGGCGTGCACGTCGCGGAGAAGGCACACGGCAGGTCAAGGTCATGTCATCTCAAGTACCAGAGGTGATTGGTTGACCTCTCGTGACTAACTCTGGAGGGTGGCGCTTACAAAAGCCGTTTTATGTCAACCGCCTGTTTGCTGCCGTCACGGAACATGATTCTTTGCCAGTATTGTCTTTCCTCCATCGAACAAAGTACAGGATTAAGGAAGATCGGCATGAAAAAATACGTCCCCGATGCGACTTCTAGAGTGGACCGACATGGACGCTGAGATCTCGGACATATGGAATTTCCGGCGCCGAGCGAAAATAAACTTAAAACACACTCATGACAAGCAGTTGGGTGCTGCACCACTTTGGTCAGTACAATAAGGCTCAAGCCTTTACATTTAACTAAAGACTTCGGTCTTAAATCAAACACTACAAAATGTAAATTTAAATCGACTGCCTTGTCATTCAACACAATTTAGCCAATTATTATAAATCTTTTCTTTAAATAATTTGATTAATTGTCTCGTAGATAAATATATATAGTGTTAAAATAAATGGGCATTAATAAATTGGTTAATTTATAAAATTGTCTTGACTATATTTACATACCAACTATAAAATAGAGAAAATAAGAATCCCTAAAGAAAGTCCAACACGGCACAATTGAAAATGTTGCAGGCTCGGTTTGATTGAGCTTGTTCATGGACGTTACTGTCAAGTGTAAACTGCCGTCCACGCCCCCCTAGCACCGGCTTAAGCAGAATTCAACATTTAACATGAAGTGGTACAATTTTGAATTTTGAAACATCCACAGATGTGTTCGTATGGCATGTATGTCGGTTATCATGGAACCTTCAATGTGACACGTAAGTGCCATTCCATGAAAAGCGGCATATGGTCCCCAAGTAAAAAAATGCGTGTGCCCTAAACGAGAAAACAATGGGCGGAACTTAATAAAATGGAATTTTGAAAAGGGATCAGACTTACGAAGCCTGCATATCACAGATGAGACGTCAAAAGACAAACTTAAAAACTTTGGGTGTTGATGATTAAAAATAGGTTTTAAAAGATAGGAGTATAAAATAAAATAAATAATTAGGATTAAAATTTAAAACAAATATAAAATATATAAATATATAAAATTATCGAAAAGCATAATAATTAAAACCATTTATAAATAAAATCTCAAAATTGTATTGAAATAAACCAGTTAGGTTTAAATACGTGTAAAATATAAAATTGTTTATGATAAAGTTTAGGTAAAACTGTGTGTGGGTTATTCGATTTACACTACCGAAGGTACGGTCAGTTACATGTATTGTATCATAGTTTGGAGACCTTTCTGTTGAAAAAGTGTCAGAGTTAAATCGTATACATATACACGCACAGTGCGGTAACTGGAGTGCAGGTATCAGTTACCCGCACTCCAGATCATGCCCGTTGATTGGCTCATTTTTGCTGGGGTTTACATATTGTGACGGCAGAGAAAGGGAAAGCGGCAAAAATATCATATTCAGATGCTCGATTATTGGTTACTTTTTCCCGGGTTTAAAATTTTGACAACAAGGAACGTGTTTTTATGTTTGACTATGATACAAAAGAGAAAGAACACCAAAACACTCGGCAATCGGGCTACGCCCCCTCGTACAAATCAGATAGCCTCGCGTTTCGGTGCTCTTTCTATTACTTAGATACAACCGGGTTTAACGATCAAACTGTACATAGGAATACACCTCCCACGAAAAATTCAACATTAAATTTTCAAACACAAACTCCACATGTTAGGTCTTTTCCTTCTTATACAGATCAAGGTTACACATCGATTTCAAAAAGGTATAGTGGGAATTTTGAAACTTCACCTTCTTATGATGAAAATTATAATTATTTTTCGCCCCTTAGAAAAGATAAATTGAATGGAGATAGTCAATTAAATACTCCTTTGAAAATAATGCAGAATAGATATAGTTCTGACATGTCTAGTCCATTCAATTTATCTTTTCTAAGTGGCGAAAAATATTATAATTTTCATCATAAGAAGGTGAAGTTTCAAAATTCCCTCTATACCTTTTTGAAATCGATGTGTAGGTTTAAATATTGATGATTCTTTGTCAGGTGAATCTATTGTTAATTGTATTCTTACAAAGGTGAATTCACGTCTTAAGTTTTTGTATAGGCAAGCAAATGTTTTAGATTTTAGGACTAGAAAATATTTATGCTCAGCACTAATACAATGTCACCTTGATTATGCATGTTTCTTCTTGGTACCCGAGCCTGAACAAGTGTTTTAAAAATAAGCTTCAAATTGTCAAAAATAAAATTGTTAGATTTATACACGTATGGGACCTAGAATAGTGTCAATTAATGTTATTCTTGCCCTAATATGTCTTTACTAAAATGTAGAAAACAGAAATAAGGCAATTACGTCTTAATCATGTTTTTAAAATTGTTAAATAACCAGTGCCTTCAAAATTGATAGAAAAATTTTATACCTGTTCGGGAGACATTTCATTCTTATTCAACTCGGTCCGAATCAGTAACAATTTTAGGGTCCCAAGAAGTTATGGGAAAGATAATGTAACTTTTTTTCAAAAAGCAATTAAATGATTGGAATTCCTTGCAAACAAGCATCAAAAAAAATTAATAAGATAGGAATTTCAAAAGCTCTGTGAAGGCCATTTACTAGAACAGTTAGGTTGGTAAAATCATAAATTAAATCCACTAGTAGACTAGATATTGATTCTTTTTTTATTGTTTCCTTTTTATGCAAAGTTAATGAAATACAAAGTTTGATATTTTTAACGTAAATGACATCTTCAGTTTTCCAAAGTTTTGTTTTTTCAATGTTTTTTGTGTTTTAATATTGTATATTATAGTAAGTATATATCAAGGACCCATTGGAAATAAGCCTTCGGCTTTCATGGGCAATCCGAGGTTATAGCACACTACTCTATACATGTTTCCACTTACGTCCTTACATTTTATTAAACTAGTAAATTGATATCTAGTCATGTTAGGAAAGAAAGGGTTTTTACATTTTGTTTTTTTAGTTTTAATATTTTTATTATTTAATGAGCCGTCTGGTGATATTTATGTCTGACAAACTTCCGAAATATTATATTACAATTGTGTCATCAGTTTTATATAAAATGCTAAAGTGTTTGTTTTATGTATACATGTATATGTGTTTTAACCTGAATAAATATCTATCTATCTATCTATCTATCTATCTATCTATCTATCTATGTCAATATGTACGCTTGAAGAAACACCATTATCGTCTAATGAAGGGTTGTTACGTCCCAGTGACAATTAACATTCTGGGTGCTTATGAGTATGAAATTATTTACAGAGAGGGTCCAAAACATTTAAATGCTTACAGCTTGACACGTCGCATTAAAAGATCATGTAAAATTCTAAATTCCAAAGAGTGTGAGAATTCCTATAGACTAAAACAAAATCTATCAAGTACTAAAACAAAACAAACACCTATTACTGAAAATGTATCATCTTGTAAATCTCATTGCATTACAACAAATATAAATTCAATGACAGACAATATGTTTATTGAAAAACATTCATGTATTAATCCTGTAAGACAAGAAAATGTTAATAATCACAATTTTTAGCCAAACTGGTTAAATCATTGGTCTAAACAAGACCTTAAAGAAATGCAATTGAAGGATGCTGCAATTTCTGAGATGTTAAGACTTAAGCGAAACTTTTCCATTAAACCTAAAAAATCAGAGTTGTTATATTTATATAGTGAAGTAATAAA